TAAACTGTTACTTTATTTCTGTGGTTTGTAACACATTAAAAGCTCTAAACCCCACTGCCTAAACAATCTGTAGTTACTCTGCGAATGGGATGAGGCCAAAATTGATGGGGATCTTGTAATTTATTTGTGCTTTGACTGTGTGTATTTTCGGTGCCTATTTACTGCTGCTGAAGGTTTCCAGTTGTAGTTGTTCCAGTTTAGTTGCAGTTCCTAGGTACACACACCCTCATTCACTCTTTCAATAATCCCTCCAATGCCAATCAAACATCCATTAAAGCTGTGCCCCTGACATATGCTAGATCATTCTTCTTCAGCTGTATCTACATAGTGTTTCTTCAAACTAGAGTTGGTGCGAGGTGTTGGTCAAGACCAGAAAGAGCCACTTCAAGACTTTGGTAATTTTGTTGCCTCAGAGCCTGAGCTGGTAGCCTGACTGGCAATGACCAGAGTGACCTACGATAGCCAAGTGTACATTGCAAAAGACTAAATAATCAGGTGCCCAGTGGTTGCTCCTAAGAACCTTGATTGTCTGTGACCCTACTCCAAGCACTACCCTCTAAACCTAGCCTCAAGGTAGGCAGCCTTCTTTTTCTGTTCTCATTATTTCTGTTTATTTCAAGCATCATTTATTTCAAGCTGGTACTTATAAAGTCAGCCTGACCTAGTGTCACAGATGAGTGATGTTTCTACTGGGCTATCTCCTCATATTGCTGTAGGGAAAAAAAGGGAAAATCTCCCAGAAGCAAAGCACCTGTGAACCCTTTAGCAGAGCCTTTCTGCACTCACCACACCTTGTGAGCAATCCATGCAAATGAGTGGACTGATTCACTGATCAAAAGATATTATTTTTCTAGTGTGTCACTGACAGTGGTGAATATGAGCACTGGAGAACAGAACAGAATGCAAAGCCAAAGTGTTTGATAGCCACCATATCCTTAAGGACTTGGTGGGAGGAGGATCCGGCACAATTCATGTCTGTATTGCAGAAGTAGGCTCTGGAGAACACCGTGGACTCCCCATGCATTTTCACTCAGGTGTTTCCTGTCCAGAAGCATTTTGCCTTGCTCTAGTGCCAATATAAAATAAATACATAATGTGCAGATGTAGTGTTGATCAACCTTGGTGTAAAAAAAGGTGGGTCAGTTCAATAATAGAGAAATGGGTAAAATTATTCAGGGAAGAGGCTAGTCTAGAAAGAAAACAACACGTTTCATCAAAAGTATCTGCACACTCATAATACCTACCACTCAGGCTAGCTGCTCTGTAGAAGAATAATGGTTAAATATTCAGTTAGCATGGCCACCATGCAATTGTGGCCAAAGCAATTGTTCTCCACTGCTTGTGTGTTAGAATACTTGTACTTCAGAAAAATTGACTTTAGAGAAGTTAGCTTTGCAATAAAGTCTGAAAAGAACCTGTGGAGCTCAAGACCTCCACAGAGAAAGGAAAAGATCTGAGCTTTTTCAAAAGAAATGAGGTTATATAGGTGAACTTCTGTAATGTTCCTAAGATTTCGAAGTTCTTTGAAAAGCTA